TAAAGCCGTTGACATCATTGTTTCTGGACGCCTGCAGACCAGATCAGAACAGCAACACGCGTCAGACACACGTAGATCATGCCCTCCACATCTCTGTCCTCCTTACCAGGCATTCGCGAATCGCAATGGAAATTAATTATGGTGATTCCGCCCTTGATCCACAAACTGGCTGGGACGTGAGGAATTCGCTGAAGATACACCCAAGCAGGCAAGTCGCAAAACTCTTGTCGTTAACCTCACATTCTGTTAGGGTTCATGGTTCATCAATCCGCACAAAGTAGATTCAGACCTGAGGATCGCGCAAGTGCGGGTTGCTGAGGCTCTGGCCACCTGCAGCTGCGGCAGCACCTCTGCAGGACAGCAGAAAGTTCGGTCGGTTTGCATGAAGCTTTGGGTCCGAACCGTTGGGTCGAGGCTTATCCCCCTGTGCTGAGGGAAGTGCAGACTGTAGATTTGACCAAACCAGATCCTTACAAAATTTAGATGACAGCTTGCGGATGTGCATAATGATGCTTTTGGGGAACGGCGTTGCGCAAAGGAACGTGCGTTCGCTTCATAGGCGGAGGCTCAGCTCGGAGCCGAGGCCACTGGAACGCAGACCTCGCCAACCTCGGAAGGCAGATAAGATGGCAAAAGATACAGCAGTTACAGCCATGTCGGGAGACCCTCTGGTTCGTGTCTGTTGGCCTGCGATAAGGCATCCTGCTGATGCGATGCTTGAAATCTGCGAGCGTGTAGTATCTGACACTGCTTCTACGCGTAGGTTTCATGCATGGTTCAATTCGCCTGACTTGTCGACGAAGTTATCACGACTTTAACGATCTCTTCAACAACTTGACCGGAAGCGCAGCTCCCGAGTTGGCTTCTGACTGCTTAAGCCCCTTCCGTCCTCTTTGAGCCACTCATAAAGCCAAACAGTCTGTATAAACAGTCGATGGCTTCTGCCATCCTGAGGAAAGCTTGTGCCTGGTCCAGTCGATGGTTATTCTTCCGAGGGCAGTAAAATTTGAAACACATCGGGTTGGAGGAAAGGTAAGGTACTGGGACAGTCGTGGTCAAGACTAGCAAGGAGTATGCGAAGAGTGAAAGTGTAGCAGTCGTTCTCATGTTGGTGGCAGAGCCGCTGATTGTGGTGGCAGGTAGCTGTTCATGATTCTTGATGAAGATGCTCCTGCTGTTGCTGCCGCCACGGACAGCGCTGGTGACTCATACTGTCTATCAAGAATCGAAGTCTGCCCTAGACTTTCGAACGGCCACGCCAAAGTCACGGCTGCAAAGCAGCCATTGACAATATCCGGGGCTATGGCACACTTTGATGCTAGCGACAAGGCGGCAACCAGAAGATCGACCTGCTGGTTACCTCGGTCAAGCATGGCAAGCTTAGGATTGCCACCGAGGGTTGGGTTCCTAGACAAGGCAATGAGGTTGAGTTGCTGGCTGGGAACCCATTTAGGACTTGACTCCCGTAATTCTCGGAGAGGGTTTGAGATGGTCTCACCTACTATGATTACAGGATGAGTATGGGCCTAGAGACTGCTATTATTTTGTGCTCGGTTTTTATCTACTGGAAAGACGTTTGCCTTCGTGCATCCACCGGACGGCTGCAGCTTTAATTCAGCAAAAACCCTTCAAGCCGCCAATTTTGCATAAGCTTAGATTTCGGGACATCTTGACCTTAACCAAACCCCTCCACCTAAGGCCTTCGGAAAGACTCTAAATTTCCTAAATCCTGAAACTTCGGACCATTCCTTCTATGGTGTCGATCTCGAGTCACTGATGCTCCGGAATTTCAGATCCGGAACCCTGTGTAGGCAAGCTGCAGGAAACCGATATGCACACCTCCTCATCTGGAGTGACCTTCGTCACGGCTTTCAGGTTTCGGTCTTCGAAATGGCAAACTACAGTGGCTGGGGGTGCTGTCCTCAGCTTCTTGTGTGTGTGTGTGTGTCTACCTACTCCTGAAGAATAGCACGACGGGCTGAGGAACAAAAACTTCTCTGTACTGATGATGCGATCACTGCGAGGAGTTTATTAATGATTGAGGCTAGGTTCGGCTAGTCCATGATGTGTAAAGATCGGCAGGACGTGTACGATGAGATGTACGAACTATGTTGTTTAACCTTCTGTCTCGGTGAGCCTGTAGTCGTTTTTCTCTTGACTCGCTGTGTGAGGCACAAGGCTGAGAAACTCGGTTCAACCAGAATCCCTAAACCCTAAACCGTGCAACCATCCCATGCCTCCATGGTCAAGGTTTCTCGAAACCACCATCGGCCATCTTCCTGACCGGAACACAGTCTAAGAGGTCCACGCGCTGCGGCTGACTTGAATTCAACATCTTGCAGTGACGCCTTTGCTTTTTAGGGAACATGAGGAGGGGGGAGACGAAGAATGTTCCATAGAGGAAGATCACGACTATTCAGAACCCGACACCCTCAACCATTACCATACAAGAAGGCCCTGCCGGGCTACAAGAGGCGCAACTCAAAACAAAAGCCAGAAGTGCAAGGATGCCAAACTCGAACCCCAGCAGTTCAGGGTTTAGCAGAAAAGAGCCCTAAGCCTGAAACCTAAACACGGCCTCAAATCTTGCACCCTGAGCCTGTCCTGGTGCCAGTCACCCAGCTCAGTCTGTTTCTGTTTGCTCACGGTGTTGACCTCTGCTTAGATTCCGCGATTCACAGCTGCTTTGCTTTGCAGGTTCGTGCGTGGCGGAGGTCGCTGGAGATTCGAGATTCTGTCTTGCAGACCCTTATTTCTGCAGAACTGCATTGCAATACCCTTCAGTGCATCGAATAGATATTGTACTGATACTGATGGTTTCTAGGGACTCAGAGGTTCTTTGCTTAGACAGCGGTGTCTTGCCGCTTCGAGGGTTACCCGTAGCTTCAAGCTGACGCGCAGGTGGACTCGACAGTCTCAGCGCAGCCTGTAGGATACTCTAGAACACATTGGGCCGAAAAGACTAGCTATCTATCCCCCAGGCTCATTGTGCAGGCACAATGCCCAGCAAAGCCCCCTCGGAGCCCTCGGAAATGAAGCTCCAAGCTCAAATCTGCCCGGCGACCTCTTGCCATATCTGCCCCACAAGTGTCGGGCCGTGACAAAAGGTTTGCTGCTGGCACTCACTTCAGCACCTGAGCATTGATGCATACTGACGATGATGCCAGGGAAGGCGACGCTGAGATGGAAATACTCCGATGTGCCCTGTTGATAGCCTACAGATACTTTTGTTCGTGCTCGACGAGGAGTGTGACCGTGAGTTGGGTCAGGGCGATCACGAAAGGTGATCATTCAGGCTACACTGGGACCTTGTAGCCTTAGAGTTTTACTGCTGTTCTCGTCATCAGTGTAGGTCTGAGTCCTTGCTCCAAGTATTCAGAATACCAAGGCCAAGTGTTACTAACATTTCTTGCCATCGTAATTAATATGTTCAAGCTTGCTCTCATTCTGCTTGCCATTGTTACTGCCACTGCTGCGTCTTGATATCTGAGGCCTGCACCCTCCTCCAGAGCACAACTCTGTATGCAGAAACTCAACTTGAAGGGCTTCCCTGCATGAAGAAAGGGCTCTGAGGCTAGGGTTGAGGGTTTGCGGTTTATTGGATCAGGCTTGGGGGCTTCCTTCTCTAAGACTGCACCGCCAAAACGGTCCTCCGTCACTTAGGCGCATTGCTGTCTTCCGGGATGTTTGGCAGGGCCTTGGACTGACAAAACAAATCTCCAGGTAGACATTGTCTGCTCGTACTACTGGAGAATCTGCAGCTTCCCATGTTTGCACTACCGGCTGTGAGCAAAAACAGTGTCTGAGTCAGGTTCTGTGGCAGAGAGGCCGGCTGCTGTGATTTTTCTTACCCTCAACGCCAAGGCATGATGCCAGACGACGTGCTAGGCTTCGCCGCCCCAGCTCGTTTTCCACACTGGGTGTCTAGGAGCACGATTGTAGTGGCAACTATCAGTCCTAGCTCATAGTGAGATTCACGGTGCTGACAGTTGCCTGATGATTGCCATCGTTATCCTTGTTTCGGCTGGACAGACGAACTCAGGGCAACATTGCTGGGTATCTTACACTAGCATGCGACAGGGATCACAGCAGAACAAATGTATCAAACAGGGTAGGAGGTCTAGGATTTAATCTCAAACACTCGTATCCTAGACCCAAGCCCCAAGCCTCCAATTATCTACCGGGATGACTGTCTCAACGATCAACCTGTACATGCAGGCTGAACCCCAAGCTCTAAACCCTAAGCCCCAAGCCCTAAACCCACCCGAAACCCTAAACCCTAAAACCCTGAAACCCTAAAACCCTAAACCTTAAAACCCTAAAACCTTAAAACCCTACACCCTATCCCCCAAAACCTCGGAGCAGAGTTGTCAAGCGACTGCCAGGCCTCCCCAGGTAATCCCTGCTCTGCAGGGCATCAGCTCGCTACACTGCGCCTGGCCGCTTTTTTTCCCCGGTTTTGGGCTCGGGGTCTCAAGTCTCTACTCATAGGAAGCCCTAAACCCTAAACCCTAAATCCTCAGGGGGGAGGGTATGATGTGCCGGTAGAGCGCAGTTGAATCAAGATTTTCTGCAATGACAGCTACGTTTTTTTCAGTGTAGGGAGTCCGGCAAAGGCCTTGTCGGACAGTGGGTGGCCGGATCATACTTACTCTAGATGCGTGGGCTACTAGCCAGGACTTCTCAGTCTCTCTGTAGTTGTGCTTTTGCTGGTAAGGTTTCATCTTCGAGGGCGTCTTGAATCCGCTTCCGTGGCCCTTAGAGTAAGCTGTTGTTCCATCTGTATCAAGCTGTCATGGCTGGCAACAAGCAACAGGAGAAGTCACAAGACACTTAATGTTGGAAGAATTGATACCCGTGGCACTTTAAACCTTAAGTCTTAAGCAAAACCCATGGATTCATAACTTGCACCACTTTTCTAAGCATCACCTGCAGTACGGTGTGATACCCTACAGTCTCAGGTCCTTTGAATCGCTTTTTCGACCGCCGATCTCGTCGAGTTATTTCTTCGTGAGCAAGTACACGGACTCCATGAAGCCTCAGGTCGACGACTCCCTGCCTCCTCATCACGTTTTGGGAGTCCGGTTTCGGAGTTTCTGTTTCAGATGGCTGCGAGGTTTGGGGGTTTGGGAGCCCTGTTTTGCTTGGCCCCTCTTGAACACCTAGTCTTCAACATCAAGCGCAGAGAATAAGCCCTCCGCAGTACAAGACTGAGATAGAGATAGATCCAATATTGCTGCTCCCTTCCTATTCGGGTCAAAGAGCACCTCCACCCGAAACTCAGATTGTGATACGGTTCTATTGTGATCTTGTAGTCCTTATACCCATAGGCCCCTAAGTAGTTCCTTTTTGGGATTACCTTCTAGGATTCTAAATATAAACCATAAAAAGGAACTACTTAGGGGCCTATGGGTAGTTCCCGTTTATGGCATGTCCGAGGCTTCGTCTGCGTCCCAAGCCACGAGTGGCGCCCCGCGCCCTCAGCGCTTCGTCCAAGGCCTCAGCGCCTCCCAGGCGCTGCAAAGCGAAGCGGCCACCGAAATACTTCTGCCTGGGTTACAGTAAGAGCTTGGAGTTTACGGTGGCGGATTTCAGAGCTGTGGGAAGGATGTTCGGGGTCTCCACCAGTTCTCCAAGGGATTGAATTAGCTTCGGCCTGCAATTCGGTTGATTCTCGCTTTTACATGGCTTCACATCCTACCTGGGTCACACAGCCACATGTGTGCGCGAAGATCCGCAGGTGCATCTCAAGCCTTCGCACGAACACGACCATGCCAGAAGCATCCGAAACTGTCATCTCCGGGGTGGAGCACCAGCAGATACCCTGAGACCCTAATCAATCAACTCTCAGAAACCTCAAGCCCTGACTCTCAATCACCAAAACCAGACCCCACGTCCCCAACCGTTCTCTAGGAACTGAGGGCAGCGCATTTCTTCGGCCGTGACCTGCCGCATCTGTCTTGGCCCTGTGCCCCCTCTCAACCTGGACCTCCACACAAACGCCTGCTGGCAAGGATTGCTGGAATCCCGATCAGGGATAGTATCGCTACCAGGACGCCCTGGAACAGTTGCCCGTTGCCTGGTAAGGTGGACCACGCTTTCCGCCGGCAAAGCCGTCATGCTCCACGGCCACGAGCAGGATGCGCCCGCCCGGAGCCATCAAATGACCCAACCTGTGATGCTAGCATCCGGATCAACATGGTTTGAGGCTACTCTGGGGTCTTTGAGGCTACTCTGGGGTCTTACCAGGAATTTGCACGTTTCACTGGCATATAGCCGAGCGGCGTATCGGCATATAGCTGTCTGTCACAGGGTTCCACGGCCACGAAGCCACCACGATCGAAGGCCGCCTGTTGAGGGGGGTACAGCACGCCGTGCCAGGAGCAACAAAGTCGACACCAGCGACGAACATGAAATGAACGCAGAGCCCAGAACACTTCTGAACCTCCTTCGACAGAAGGCAGAATTCAATTCCTATCTGCCTCGCGTAACAAACGAAGCCCCGAGCACTTCAACCGTCACATGCGAGCCCTCCGGATCTCCCAATGCAACAAAATCAAGGACTCGAGGTGTAATATAATATAATGAAATATAATATAATATAACACAATATAATAGAATATATTCAACCTCCCCAGTCCAGTGATGTCATCCTTTGCTGGTTATAAACACCTACGTCAGCTACACCCCACATCCCAACTTCTGATAACGGTGAGCCACAGTCTCGAAGCTACCACTCCCTAGACCCCGAACAGCTGAAGGCCCAATCCAGGAAACCCGCATCCGTGCCCGGTACCTAAAGCGATGGACCCTGAGCCCCAAGCGCTGAGCAATTTGCTGACCCTTCTAAGACCCGAATGAAGCCCTACAAACTATATACAGTATATACGGCCACATCAAATCCTGATTGAAGCACCCCCCATATAAGACCCCTGAGCCCTAAATTCGTCCTTCCCCCCTAAACCCCTAAACCCAAAACCCTAAGCCCAAAACCCTAAACCGTGTGGCCTCGAAAGGGACCAATGCCTTGGCCTGCTCGGGGCCAAGGCCCAGGAAATCGCCTCAGGAGAACTTCCGCCGGAGAGCCCGTCAGGGCTTGGGCAGTTGGGCGTGGAGGCCGTTGGAGCAGGGAATTGTGCCTTAGAGGCCTCCGTAGTGTCCTTGTGATAAACTGTACTGACAGTTTAACAGTCACATTGCTTGCACGCCTTTCCTCCTCCTCCTCAGCATCATCCGGATGCAGGCAAGCTCTCCCCTCCCCAGATGCTACGTCTTGCAGACACTCCACAAGAAGCAACCTGATGTAGGAGCCTCAATAATTAGAATGGGGTTTTGGTGCATATGAAGCGATTACTCAGAGCAGGCTGGCAAAACTGCCTGGAGCTTCCGGGAACCCCGAAAAAGAAGCCTTGTAATAGGGTCCAGGTAAACCCTAAAAAGCTGACCCAGTTTCCAGCCTTCCACGAAGATCACCGGTGGAGGAGGCTCGTGCCTAGCAGCTCATGGAAGCGGCAACAAACTTATAGAGGGGTTTGAAATAACTAGGATCCTGGGTACCGTTTTTCTGGAACTCCTGCGTCGGACCTGGCTTGTGCTTAGAAATACACGTAGTTGCTTGTGTTCTTGAGATGCCGAGGACTGCGGGAGATGCTTCTACCGTGTCCGGCCTAGAGTAACGATTCAAGATACGTCTTTGCACACTGCATTGGTGACTCTTGGATCAAAAGACCGACAGCTCTCTTAGGTGCCGGAACACACATGTTGGGATGGTGATACAGCAGCAAACCGGAAAGGTATCTGCGTCCTCATGTACACGTCAGGCGCTCCGGGTCCGCAGTGGGGCCTACCTCATGCCCCCAACCTAAGGTCAAGGCGACCCCAACTGTACCATTTATTTCCGACACAAACCTGGCTGCCAAGTCGGGAGACTGTACAGACGGTGAGCATCACACCCTAAACCCTACAACTCATTCAGCTGACTCGTCTCCATACTTCCAGTCGCCCGCAGACAGTTGAGGAGGAACCCTACACCTCTAAATTCTGACCCCCTTACTTGCCAATCATCCAAGGCACTCAACCCTGAACCAACCCTTCTGGTTCCATACAAAAACATGTTGGGCTTCTGTATTGGCAGCTCCAAAACAAACGGGTTTGGGGCCCTGTAAGCAACCCTAAACAATAAATCCTACAAGTAACCCTGAACCCCCAACCCCAGAGCCCCAAAACCTATTAAAACCCCATAGAACCCTCAAAGGAACCCCAAACAAGAGCCCCAAAGGAAACCCTTAAACCCCTTTTTTGGAAGGACCCCTAAACCCTCAACCCTAAACCCTAAACCGTGACCTAATGGGAACTCTTTGATGCCTGGAGCCATCTTCTGGTCCGGCTGGAATGAGCACCGCATGTCCCCGGAAGCGACTTGGCTCCAGCTCCGGCGGGAAGTTCACGTGCATCGTCGGCCCTCTGAGGCTTCTCCAGGGGTTTTGGGTTTTAGGGGTTTTAGGGGTTTAGGGGTTTAGGGGTTTTAGGGGTTTAGGGGTTTGGGGTTGTGGTTTAAGCTTAGAGACAAGAACTTACGATCAAGAGGTTTTCTGGGTTTAGGGTGAATGAAGCCCTGAGAGGCCTTTTAGGTTGAGTCTGCACGTCAACACCCACCATGACCAGCAGTTTTTGTAGGGTCCTAAATATATACACCCTTGGATGCAACTGATAGGGACCGTGCAAAAAAACCAGGCTCTGTTGGCTAGGGTTTAGGGTTTTGTTTTATCGGTTTAAGAGACCAGTTGAGAGCCTTTGTACGTTTAGGGCTGAGGCCTCGAGCGGCTTGGGTGGACTCAAAGGATTCGGTGACATAGCAAGTAAGTTTTAAGAAGAGTCGCCAACATGATAGCCCCAATCAGGGTTAACCTTGGCCCTTGAGGTTTTCCGAAACCTTCGAGGTCTCCGGCAGTGTTGCCTGGTGCTTCGGCTAGGGTCATAGCAGTACTAGAAATATAAAGCTGTACTAGCAGTTCTAAGCGTAACAGTGGTAATAATTATAAGCGTGACAACAGATAACTGTGATCATAGTGATAATACTGATAGTTCTAGTAAAGGTAATAATCGCAAAAATAGTCGGCGTAGTACTAACAGTAACGAAAGACTAACAGAAATAATCTTAATAGCAACAATACAACGAAGTAACAAAAGTAGCAGCAGTAGCACTAGTACTAGAAACACATATTGTAGTAATATGCATAGTAGTAGGGAAATGGTAATAACAGCAACAGGTGGTGGTGGTGGTGGTGGTGGTGGTGGCGGTGGCGGTGGTACTGGTACTAGTACTAGTACAAAGTACAAGTACAAGTACTAGTACTGCTATAACCATAATATAATAGCAAGCGGTAGAAATAATGGTACCTACGGTGACACTAGCAAGTGGCCGTCGCATTAATAAAATGATCAGAGCAAGACTAAACATGAAAAGGATGATCAAAGTACTGATAGTCATCCTAATGGTATGAGGACCAGTTTTAGTACCGGTAATGGTGCGACTAGTAGAAGATGTAATAGTCATAGAAATAGTGAGTAGACTACTCATAAAGAGTAATAGCAACAGTAGTGGTGAGTGGTAATCGTAGGCGTAATCATAATGTTAATATTAATATCAACCTAATAATATGTAACAAGGAATAGTAATACTAATAACTCAAACCCCTTAAACCAAAGACAACCCCAAAGCCTACAAAGCAGACTCCCCAATTTCCCACAGCAAAAAAACTCGCAACTCATTGGCATTGGTTCCAAGTTGAAGTTTAAGGATTCGGTACATCAGGTCTTCGTCGTCCCACACAATTTGTAAGAGACGCGCCTTTGGCAGTGGGCACCTTCAAGCCGAAGTCCTGGGCTGTGTGTGGCGAGATACCCCCACTTTGCTGTCTGCGGTGTCAGGCAGCTGAGCATTTACCTATCAACCGGCTGTGGTGAATAAGTCCCGCTCCAAGAACAATAAGTCCCCAAGTCCCCCTCCAAGAATTCAAGTCATGCTTCCTCACATATCCCGGTATCTTGCATCTCCCTCTGTGTCCAGCTGCCAGTCTCGTCTTCATCGCTCGGGGAGATCTCTGCGTCTCTCTCGATGTCTCCGTCTTTCTTCTTCGCTCCCTCTCACTCTCACTCTCACTCTCTCTTTCCCTCCGTTCTGTCGATGGCATCATGAGAAGACGGACTCTCGGACTCTGAAACTGTGAAGTCACGCAGGCAGAACGTTTCCAACGACATCTCTCGTCTCCACTCCAGGGCCTGACCCCAATGCTGGTACCAGATCTCTGCATGCGGTCCTTGGCAAAATCTTCGATGGCTTTTCGCACGCCATCCACGCCCACCACGCGGTAGCCGAGGCGTGCGAGATAGACCATGTCCTAGGCCCGGAGCCACACGCTTTAATCCACAGATCTAGCAACTTCACGATCTCTTTCGCGCAGTAGCAGCAACACAACATAGCGGCATATCGAGGTACAGCTGAATTCAATCGAGGATGGAGGGAGCCTGAACCCAGTTGCCTTGGGTGGACGCTATCCTCTTCTTAGTGCATCATACCTCCGATGGAACAGCATTCCGAAGATCAGTATGTGGTCGTGGTTTTGAACTTCGGGTTTCGGCGTGAAGGCCTTAGGGAACACGGAAGATTCTTCGAAGAACTGGAGGCGGCAACTGAGAACCCTGCCGCAGAATATCAACTGCCCTGAAGCCCAGTATCCATGAAACTCCGCCGCCTTGTTGCAAATGCCGGGCTCACAACACTAGACGTGAACAAACCATGGCTTCTGGGCAGGCATCCACCGTCTTTCCGCACAGAGGTACCAGTATTCGAGGGCCCATTCCTGGGCAAGGAAACGAGTACCGGATATGGCTGCCATGCTTTAAGTGATCGGACACCCTCGCTGCATGACTGGTTGATACGAGTTCGAGCTGTTTTCGGCTTTGTCATGGACGCACTACTCACTACCAACATTCTTGCAGGGACACAGGACTACTCCTGAACGCGGTGCTGTTCGAAGCGCCAGATTGCTTCCTCGGCAAAACTGACTGGCTTTCGACAGGGTCGGTGGGGCCCATCCTATCACGAAGAGCAGCCACTTGAACGTCACAAGTGCCATGACCACATGCTGGTACAGTCTCCATTTGCCACAGATGCATCTGGGTCGATGATCTTGGTCAGGTACTTCCGAAGGTGCGGATTGGCCTTGCCATCGTGGCTCTCTCTGCTGGGAGAAGCAGCTGAGTCGCTTGAAATCTCTTTGTGCAGAGTGCACACTCTTAGAAACAAGAATTCGAGCTTTTTGTTATGCGGGGTTGGTCTTATTATGAGGGTAAGCTTCAGAAAGTAGGATCGCTTTCATCGTTCAGGGTTGGGTTTCGGCAGTCTCAAGAAGATCTGGCTTCCAGAAGCTGCAACCTTCGGCCCCGGCTGCTGGGCTCCTATTCATCTCACCGAAGAATATCTATCTGAACGAATGTGAATGAGAGACTTTTGGCGTGGCCACCTACATACCATGCCATGACGTGCCGTGCCGCGCGGAGCCATGGACACCATACACACATATACATATCCGCTTGTACAAATAGAAACAAACATCCATAATATAGTCAGTCTAGCTCTCTCTCTCCCTGGCTCTCTTACAATGTACACACGTGCGCATCAAGTACTGTGCATATGAGATCAGCAACATGTCCACCATGTTGCCTCTTTGCACCCTGCTACCTGGTGGGCTTTCTGTCAACAGCACACCATGCTGCGGCAGAGGTGCATCTTCCAGATGCCAGCTGATCCTTACTGGGAGCGACGGCTGAGGGTTTGGGGTTTGGACAGCTTCCGCGTTGTTGAGTTGTAGGGTTGCAAGTGTACATGTTTTTGAGGCCCAGCAGCCCAGGCACGATCCCTCTCTCAGCTCGCAGTTAAGTATTCGGAAATCAATCTGGTCCTTGTGGTCTAAGATTCTGGGCCTAGGGTTTTAGCTTGGTGCTTAGGTCTGAAGTAGTTCCCTTGTTTCCTGATGCATCACTGGCCTCGGATGCAGGCATGCGGGAAGCAAGCTCGCGCAAACACTCCTAAACCCTAAACCCTAAACCCTAAGCCCTAAACCCTAAATCCTAAACCCCAAACCCTAAAACCCTAAAACCCTAAATCCTAAACCCTAAACCCTAACCCTAAACTTCCCCCCCCAATTGAAAATGCCGGAAGAGGCTCCGATTCACGGACCAACGATCTTCCCAGCTCTGGAGTCGCTCGGCCTCTGCCGAGGACTTGGGGCTTTAGGGTTTTAGGGTTTTAGGGTTTTAGGGGTTTAGGGTTTTAGGGTTTTAGGGTTTAGTGGTTTTAGGGGTTTAGGGTTCTAGGGGCTTTGGGTTGCAGGGTTTCAGGGCTGAGAGCTGCAGGACTTCAGCGGCTTGGGGGTTTAGGGTTTAGGGCAGGATTCAAGAGGGCTCCGGAAATGGTATTATATTGGTTTCTGTAGAGCTTTGTGAAGTGTTGGGAGGGTCCTAAAAGCGCGGTCTTTATGAGGGCTTTTACGAGGGTGTTGCATTTCTTTGCCTAAGCGGGTTCAGGGTTTCAGGTTCAGGGTTTAGGGTTGAAGGCTTCAGGCTGAAGTGGCTCGGGCATACTTGGAGTTATAAGTGGGGTTACAAGTCCCCCATGTAGGGTTACAAGCATAGCTACCCTGCTTGTAACCCTACCTATAGCTACCCATGAACCTCCAAGTAAGGCTTACGAATTCGGCCTGCGCTCTTATTATTTCTGGCTCACGCGTTCGGGAGTTCGTCCAGGAGTCAAGGAGAGTTTGCAGGAGCAGGTCGCGTGTCTGTCGCCTAAGTGCCCTTTGTCCTCTCACCAGCAACTCCAGATCCTGGAGATTTCTGGCTGTGGAGAAGTGCAGTGAGTGGATTCTATCGGCCTCATTACTACAATTCAAGACTGTGCCGGTGCACCCCAAAACTCCGGAGCACCCAAACCCAAGGAACATCCCCTAAACCCTAAACCCCGACCCTAAACCTAAACCCCAAACGCCAAACCCTAAACCATAGTCGGTCCCCAATGTGAGCCTTGTCCTCAGCTTCACAGCGGACGGCAAGGCCAGCCAATGCAGCACCGGCCCCGGCAGCAGCTGCAGCCTGCGCGCCCAGGCGCCTCAGCGAAGAGAGAAGTGTCTTAGTTGACACTTCAAATTTTATCCTAAGCCCCTCAACCCTAAACTCTAAACCCTTATGAGATCTTGCGCGTCGAGGTTCTTAGCTGGCACCTGACCATCCTGCAGAAAAAAAACCTATCTTGAAGGGTTCTGGACAACCTCCGGCAAGGGGGCTCTAGGCGGTTTTCTGGGGCTTCACTTAAGGGTTCAAAGAAGATTTCTAAAGGGTTTCATGAGGGTCTTATGTTGGGGGATCTTTTCAATTCCCTGCCTGGCCCCTCAAACACTCGCGTGCAATGCATCAAGTTGGTCAAAGCGAAAGCATTATGTGTACCTGTAGCACAGACTTGCCTTTAGAGGCAGACATATAACTGTATCATTCGGCATTATAGCAAGGAGCGCCAAGGCTTTTTGGATTATCGGCGCTACAGGTTGGGTGTGGTTAACTTCGCCTTCCTGAAGTTTGTGCGTCTGGCGAAGAAGTAGACCCAGACTCCATGGCCTCCACCCCTACGTCCCGAACCCTGCAAGCATCACCTGATCTAATCCGTAAACCCTAGATCCCTCAATTAACTCGCGACAGCTTCAGGGCCTAGTCGGGACAATGTCCGGGTCGCTGGTTCTGGTGGAAACGACGTTTAGCCGAACTTTAGCCCCCTATCCAGCCAACCTCCGCTTCAAGGGTTTGTACGGCTTCTAAGAATCATATTCAAGACTCGAGTTGCAAAAGCTTAACCACTGCCCTCTTCCCAGAAGCCTCAGCCGTCCCCCGACAGCAGTCTGCCTCTTATCATGAGTCGACTTCGAGCCTGAATGCTGTTATCATTGTTGTTGTTGCCACTGTTTATCTTGCCGGCGTGATCTACTAGAGTTGCCCTCTACGGCAGCTGCATTGCTATGACCCCTTATAGCAAACTTATGGTACCCCTTTTCGTACCTGTATGCTACCCTAATAACCTACAATACTACCCTAATATACTAGTGACACCCAGACACCGGCGAGGCAATGCACGCAGCAAGCGGCTCCAAACCATGGCAGACGTGTAAGTTGCTCAAAAGGCTAAGCAACAATCGTTCGGTTTAGGGTTTAGGGCCTACTCTTCGGTAAAACCAGTGGTCGTTGGTAGTGCAAACAGGCTAGATACCTGATGCCTGATACCTTGAGACGTGAGGATCTGTCCATCGCCGGAATCCTAATCCCTGAATATATGTAATATTTTAAATAAGCACAGGCAGAGAGGGAGAGAGAGATGTATAGAAACACATCTGAGAATACATGTGCAACATCCATGCATGTATGTGTGTACATAGACATACGTTACACAGTGGACATCATATGAAAATACACAATCTATTCGGCTTCTCCTGCAAGCAGCCCACTTTGCTTCTTGCCGATCGCTACTATCCTACCGCTGAAACAGCTGCTGGCATTGTCCGATGCGGGATTTGAGAACAGAAAAATTCTCATTTCAGGATCTTTAAAATTTTTACAATCCGGAACGTGCGATTTCGGGCTTTTATGAGGGTTCCGTATTTTTTGAAGCTGCTGTGTTTGTGGCCTCATACGTTGGCTTGCTTCCAAGACTGCCGGTGCCACCCTGCTTTGAAAGCCATCCCCATGAGGGCTACGATTAGTGTGCTAGAGTACTCTTATAGAAACTCTTGAAGTACCCCTGTGGTACAAGTGTAGCACCCCATTATGCTACTGATACTCCCCCCCCCCCCCAAAGACGCCCAAACGCCTTGACACGAAACACCAAAGCCGTCGCTGCTCTTGTTTCTATCCGTGGTGTCCAGGCATTAGCACTCAAACGATAATTGGAGCTAACTGTATGGCTCAGAATGTCCAGCACTGGTGCCACAGCCCAGTACTTCAGATGCCAACACAGCATACTAATGGTTGCTCCCGTTGTGGTGGTTGTGCTTGTGTGTGTGTGTGCGTCAGACATGTCATGGTGAGCTTTAATATTGCAAAAATGTCTTTTACCTCTTTTGCTCATGACATGGCCTATACAATCACTGGTGATGGCTGCTGTTCCGCCTACTGCTCCAATCCCCAACTTTCAACAAAAGTCATACAAGTACATGCGAACCCAACCAATCAAGCTTAAAGGTTGGCGACGATTGGTGATTGCAACCAGACCCCAAAAGCGAAACGATGGATCCTTCGCATACCGACCCCCCTAAAAGGGGGACCGCCAATCATAAGCAAGCCTTAGGGTTCAGGGTTTAGGGT